GTGAGCCGAGATGGTGCCATTGCACTCCAGTCTGGGCGACAAGAGCAACTGTCTCAGAAAAAAAAAAAAAAAAAAAAAAGACACCAGGAACAAGAGGGGGACAAGGCCAGGAGCCCCAGCTCTCCCGGGACTCCCTGCAGAGAAGAGGTTGCTAAGTGGGGGTGAGGGAGGAAGGCAGCCCCTGCCTGCCCCTTCTCCTGGCTCTGTCACCACAGGCCTCAGAGGCCCCTGTTTCCTGGCTGACTTTTCCAGGAGCGTGACTGCCTCACCCTGACCCCAGCGTTGGGAACAGGGCAGAGGGAGGATTCTCTGGGCTCCTTGGGAGCTCTCCAGAGACTGCATAGACCCCAGTCTCGGAGGGGCCCGGAGCCCAAGCTGATGGCCCACAGGCCTCTGCAGGCGTGTGTCTGCTGGCCGCAGCTGCCCATCTCCCCGGCTACCTCCCGGTTACTCCCTCCACTTGCCACCAGCAGCCTGCTTATTATTCCAGGTCCTGCCCTCAAACTGGGAGGGAGGTTGGGTTGGGAGAGAGCGTGACCCTCCCGGGTGAACTCTGAATCTGCCGCATGGCCTCTCGCCTGCAGGGTTGGGGCAGGGAGTGGGAATCCCGGAGGACTTCTTCTCACACAGGCAGAGCAGGGTGCCTGGGCCAGGGGCTAGGAACCGGGCATCTGGTGGGGAACCTACTCCCCAGACGACTTGGAGCTCACCACCCACAGCAGGCATCTCAGCAGCTCCATCAGCATGGGATTCCTGGCTGGCTGTCTCTCTCATATACACATACATGTGCATGAGCCCGTGCTCATTCAGAGTACTGTAGACATTTTCTTTTATCTATGTTTATTTATTGATTTGCTTATTTTTGAGACAGAGTCTCATTCTGTCACCTGGGCTGGAGCACAGTGGCATGATCACAGCTTATTGCAGCCTTGACCTTTCAAGCTCAAGCGATCCTCCCACGTCAGCCTCCCGAGTAGCTGGGACCACAGGTGTGCACCACCATACCCAGCTAATTTTTTTTTGAGATGGAGTCTCGCTTTGTTGCCCAGGCTGGAGTGCAGTGGTGCAATCTCGGCTCACTGCA